GCACCCCCGCCTCCAGGGCTTGATACGCCCCCTGTCCCCTCCCAGACTGGATGTATCCCTCCCAGGGCTTGATACGCTCCCCCCACAGCAAAGGCTGGATGTCCCCCCCATACTCCCCTCTGGTCCAGCCCCTCACTCACCGTAGATGAAGATGGGCATGAAGTATCCGGCTGGCAAGGGCAGGGAGGCGGCCAGAATCAGCATCCAGAACTGACGCAGAGAAAGCAGCGTCACCGTTCCCATGGGGACCCCATGTCGGGGGGCACCCCCAGAGATTGGGGGGGGGGCATGGCTACCTTCATCAGCAGAAAGAAGGCCAAGGTGCCGAAGATGGTGGCAGAGGGGTGATCCCACTCCCGCCAGAGTCCTCCAGAGTCCACGCTGAGGGGGTCAGCCACCTGGGAGTGGTTGGAGACCTGCATGCTCCACGTGCGGTTGTCGAAGAGGGAGGTGAGATACTGCTTCATGGTGAGCTGGGAGGACAGACAGACAGACAGACAGACAGACAGACAGATGGACACCCTGAGTACCTGGGACATACTGGGGTACTTGGGGAGCCCCCCATGCCTCCCACTCACCCTGGAGGCCATCAGCTGCCCCAGCCCAGGCGGGAAGGTGATGGAGGCGAGGAGCAGCACCACCAGCACTGTGTACACAGGCTTGCTGAAACGGGGAGAGGTGGGATTGGGGGCACAGGGACAGACAGATGGATGAAGGGGACCCAGGGATGGCCGCTAGGGATATGTGGACACCTAGAATGGATGGGGTGGATGGGCAGCGTGCATGGAGGGGACAAGGGACACTCAGTGTGGTTGAGCAGGGTGCATGGGGAGTACATAGGGACACTCAAGATGCACAGGGTGGATGCACGGACACACACACAGTGCATGAGGTGAACATGTGGAGTGCATGGTGTTGATGTATGGGGTGCATAGGGGGTAGACACACAGACACCCAGGGTGTATGGGGTGGATGCAGGACATGCAGGGTGCATGATGGGGACACACAGACACCAGGGCAGATGCACAGAGTGCATGAGGTGGGGGGACACAGAGTGCATGGAAGGAACACATGGACACACAGGCTGCACAGCACAGAGAGGGTGCAGACAGACGGACAGATGGATGCCTGGTACAGACTCGGTGGCCAGCAGCTTGGCTGTCAGCTGGTTCTTCTTGACAGCCACCATCATCCAGCGCTGGCAGAAGAGGTAGGCACAGGCCACGACCCCACAGATGGCCCTGTTAGGAGAGGGCAGGCAGGGCTACAGGCAGGGGACAGGCACGGGGACAGACAGTACCCAAAACTGGACCCTCCATACCCCAAAATCACAAAAAAGAAGGTCTCCAGCAGGTCAAAGGGAAAATCAATCTTGAGGTCACTCTTAAAAACAGCAGCAATGGTTTCTGTGAGAAGGGAGAAGAATGAGTGCATGGGTTTGGGGGTGGCCACCCCAAAAATGCTACGGGGGAAGTAAAGGAGAAGGGGTGCACACCCTGCCTTACCTTGCTCGTTGTTGAAGACAGCAAGGAGGCGAAACATGAAGGCACCACAGGTGGCAGCAAAAAAGCCACGCCAGTAATCCCGCACAGCAAAGTGGGAGGACATCACCTCAATGCTGAAAAGCACCCCTGGAAAAATGGGATGGGGGGTTAGGGAGAGATTTAGAGTCCCCAGGGTGGGATTGGGGGGTATTCTCACCACTGATGGGTGCCCCAAAGACTGTGGCCACCCCGACGGCTTGTGCTGCCACCAACATTTCATGCTGCTTGAACTTGTTCTGTGGATTGGGGGGAGGGGGCTGTTAGGCATAACCCAAATTTTTTTGGGGGATAAAATAAAATCCCTTCATTAATTTTTGAAGGAGGGCACCCCCACCTCGTACTCCCTTGTGACTGAGGTCCTCATCTTCCCCAAATATGCCGCAGCCATGGCAGAGAGGTGGACATAGGGACCCTGAGTGCCAGGGCAGGGACATAGCACTGAGCTGCCCCACCTCGGCACCAACCAAAACCTCTGGCAACTTGGGGGGTCAGAGAGAGATGCCTCACCACTTTCCCAAGGAAAAGGGTGCTACCACACACCAGGGTGCAGGTCAGCCCCACCACCTTGGCTCCGAAGTTCTGGATGGCCAAGTAGTCCTCTAGCACCACACCCATCAGGATGGTCTTCAACTCTGGGATGCCAGAGCCTGGAGCAGGGGGGCAGGATCCAGATTTTGGGGGTCCTTCTCATTACTGAGGGGGATTTTGGGGGAGCTGGGGAAGTTGGGGTCCAGCTGGCTCACCTCCCGAGTGCGGTGTGATGCTTTGGGAGAAGCCAGTGGAGAAGGCTGCCAGCGCCGTGGGGTACATGGTCCATGGTCCACGAGAGGTACTTGAGCACTCCGAAGTCCCCAACCTCTTGGTAAAGCCAGCAGTGGGCTGGAGAAGTGTCAGGAGTGGAGATGCACCCCCATCCCAAAAGATCCCCCCATCCTTGGTGAACCCCCAAACACCAGGTGAAGCACCTCATGGGAGCCTGTCATATACCTGCATAGAGCCTGGAGACGACGAGGTCCATCATGAAGCTAATGGTGGCCATGAGGACCCCCATGATGAAGAG